GGGTGCACGCACACATACACGCACACTACGTACAACAATAAACATTAACGAATTTGATGATGCATCCACCTTAATTATTAAAAAGTATAGATACAACACAGGGGTCCCAGCAAGTACAGCCTGTGAAACACTGCTTAGCGTAGGAAAGGATATTTTCAGACCAAAGAGAAACCGCCTTTCTGATTCCACTTATGAAAAGCTTCTCTTGTGCTGTGTAAACAAACACTTGTGAGAGCAATAAGAGCCCACCCATGCACCATTACCCCTCTCCCCCTCACCCACCCGCCCCTCCCCTTCCATCCCATTCCCTCAGCACTAAAACATGTAATTCAGGACTTTGATTCTCATTTCAGTTTGGACCAGTTCATTTGCTATTGTCCCAGTGATCACTCTCTGAGCCATGCTTATTAATCACGATGTTGCATGTCGTCCGTAAACACAGTTTAACAAAAGTTTGTCACTTCAATCGACTTGTTTAATTGGGGTCTGAAGAAGTTCTCTCGTTAAGGGAGGCCCTGAGGAAATAAGATGGCTGTTAATATCGTTTTTCTTTTCCCTAGAAATTTTAAATTGATTTAAACCTATAGCTATGTCTTGCCCATCGAACACTACACAGTAGCTTTCAATTGGTACTAAATAATTTGTTTACTAGAGTACTGGTTTACCAAGTAGTAGGCCAATAACGTTTTTTTTATTCCCAGAAGTAAGCTTTTATTTATGTTTCAATGCTTCACATAACGTAATGTCTACAGTGTGTTAAATCATGGGTTGTTGTTTAATAAATGTCTTAACCATGTAGTGTATCTGACTGTCATTTTGCACTGACCTGGCATTAGGTTGGTACAACGTGAAGTAGCTTCTGATGCAGTAAACTACTGTTGCCATATTTGTGTAACTTAGCTTGCTATATTTCTATGGGTGGTAGCTTTTGTGTACTGAAGCTTAATTTATTGTTGAGTAACTGATAGCTTAGCTCACTACACTTTACAAGTAGCTTGCCCAACACAGAATATTAGTTTAAATACTAGAACTTGTGGCCATAGGTGGAAATTAGTGGGAGAACATTTTAAAATGAATTTGAGGAAGCACTTCTTTACATAGCATGTAGTTAGAGTATGGAATAGTCTTCCTGTTCGTGTAGCGCAAGCTAAAACCCTGGGTTCCTTTAAATCAGAGCTAGACAACTCTGAGCTATTAGTTAACTTCTCCCCAAACAAGCTTGATGGGCCGAATGGCCTCCCCTTTTTTTTAGTAAATTTCTTATGTTCTTATGGGACTGCACTCTATCTTGCAATATCTAGACTGTCCGAGGCAATGTGCAAGGATTTGTTTGAGGACTTCAGTTTGGTGTTCAACACCACCATTCCAGAAATCCATTTCACCAACTCTCCCTGCTCACTATATCCCCTCCCATCTGTCAGGTCTCAGGAAATGGATCTTGTGGAAAGCCTTCCCAGAATAGTGCTACAAAGGGAGGACCAAGTCCATATTGACGCCTATGGATTTAGAATGGGATGTCATTAAAATTCCTGTGGGTGTAATGGCCACGTGTCCCAGTACTCGTGTTTTAACACTGTACCTCATATCTACAAATACTGCATTCTACAATCTCATTCTCATACGTGGTTATTGTTGTTGGCACTTTATGTAAGTTACTTGTCTTTTATTTAATCTGTATATGGCTTGTACATTGTGTATTGCCCGCAAAATACATGTTCATTGTCTGTATATTGTCTGTTAAACTTGAGAGAGACCATCCTTGTATGAGTTAACATTGTTGGTCAACAAATTTCATTATGATGGTACTTTTCATTTTAGTGGCACTGAATAATTCATTCAGTGATAGAACAGCTTGATTTTCAGATGTGAGTTGTATTGTTTTGAGTGAGTTTGACCTTTTGCAGCTTAATCATACTATTGTGCTACATGCATATATTGTTTAGAGAAATGCTCTCATGGTTGTGAGAATGTTACGTAACTGTCATGAAATGTATCAAAGCGACTAAGAAAAACTTTAATATGAGCCAGTAATTAGTAAGCTAGCTAGTTGGCTTGTTTTATAGCCTTATTTACAGTATCCATGTCTTGTTAGCATCATTCAGAGGCACCCCTAGAATAGATTTGCATTATACCACCACACGTTGTAGCAGGACTGACTGTAACACTAATATTTATATTATATGACATTATGTTATCCAAATAATTTCAGCACTCTTAAGATTATGCGTCATCTGTGTCTGAAATCTTTCAGCAAGCTCCAAAAATATTGCCGTCTAATTGTTCATGGCCAGCTTGTGAATAACAAACTGTGAATGCCAAATTTGTCAATGTGAAGGGGTTACTGTATTACACTTCAAATCAGAATGTGGGCTGGTTTTTGTTACCTTTCTGAAGTTTTTCCAAAGGGAAATTAGCCTCCCTTTTCATGTAAACATTTTGCCTGCTGTAAATTTTATTGTTGAAATGCATCTTAGCTGAAGATGCACTATATTACCAAAAATATATGGACACCAACTTGTACAACATCTCATTCTGTGTTCCTGCCTGTTAGGGATCCTAAACTGGTATATTTTCCTCTCTTTGGCCATGTTGCTGTTCTGTTATCTAGATATATAATTTTCCGCAACATTAAATCCGTTGATCCACTTACTTTATCTCAGTCTATATTCTCGTCTCTGTCTTCTGAAATGTTTGTGTACTGTCACACTCTCTTGATACTCTAGCACCTCTAAAATCTTGTACCATCTAACACTATCCTCCTGACCTCTGTTCCATGAAACTGACTGGTCCTCACCTGGAGAGACATTTTAAGAAGACCAAGCTGATTGTCCATGCTGAGGCCTACAACGGTCATCTCTCCTGTTACGGAGATGCCCTTTGCACTGCTAGAACAGACTATTACTCCAGCCTCACCAGTGGCACAATAAAAAATGCTTAGACTCTCTTTTTCTAATGTTAGTAAACTGTTACAACTTCCACATAATATGTATCCTACCTTAGTCAATCTCTGCAACTTTTTTACAAGACTTTTTCAGAATAAAACTTCCACTATTCACAGCTCTTTGATGTCACTCTTTCCCATTTTCCCTCCACCCCTCATCTCCCTACTTGTCTCCTACCACCCCTCTTGATCTGGCTGACTTATATAATTACCATTCTATCTCCAACCTTTCTTTTTTCTCAACAGTTCTTGAATCTTCAACATAATAAATCTACTTGATCCACTTCAGTCTGACTTTCACGGTCTCCACAGCACCAAAACTGTCTTAAGTCCTCAACAATTCAACAATCTTTTGACCTCTGCAGACTATGGAGCCTTCAGCATCCTCATTGTTCTCAACCTGAGTACACCCTTCAATGCAATGTCCTACCTCCTTTCACGACTGCATGACTTTGGCATGGAGGTTACAGTCCTAGACTGGTTCTTCCCCTACCTGGTAGACCCAAAAGAATTCATTGCTACCTCTGGCTATTCATCTTACTCCTCAGCAGTCCCTCATGGAGTCCCATCAGGCTTGGCTGTCGGACCACTGCTCTTCGGTCTACCACATTATTGAACAATATAACCTCATTCTTCACTGATAAGCTGATGACACCCAAATCTACCTCAACACTAAATCAATCCACTCAGCACCCTTGTTTAAATCTGGTTATCTGCAATCAAGACCTAGATAAGTTGCAATTTTCTCAAGTTGAACAGCAACAAATCTGAGTGTATACCAATAAACTAAATCTGTCGTCAAAGCTGGCTTATTTCCACTCCTTATGCATGTACTACAAAATCACACATCAGTTCATCCCTCTTCAGCAGATTGCATCCTTGGTGTAATTCCAGACCCTTCTCTCTCATTAGACAGTGACATTTCATCTATTAGTTCCAAATCCCTACACAAGCTTCATAGTCTAGAAATCTGCAGCTTGCCTCCTTACCCATACTTAGACCCACCTGTACTTTTCTCCTGTTCTCCATGACCTGTGCTGGCTCCCCCTCACCCCTATCTGTCTGATCTTCTCCTGCCCTACCAGTCCTCCAGTCTTCTTAGATCTTGCTCTTCTGGGCTCTGTACTGTTCTTCTTTCCAAATTCCACAGCTTCATCCCTCATCTTTGGTATTCCCTTCCCTCTGACATCCATAACTTGCCTTCTCTGCCAGTCTTCACATCTTGCCTTAAAACCTTTTGCTTTCTTTTGCTCTCTGCACTTTGCTTTTTAAATATTATTGTCTTTAGGTTTTGGAAAGTACTGCCTAAATCAAAGGTATTTATGTAATTTAAGATATACAGTGCTCACAGAAAGCTTGGGACGCTTGCTTAATTCTTTAACAATGTTGCAAATGTATTGGCTTCATAACAAAGTCCATTGACAAGCGATGTTTAACATATCTGCACATATCTTTTGCACAGAAATGTTCTTTTTTTAAGTGTCTTAATATTTTTGACTGACTCATTCAGTTCTGTTCTTGCCATTTTGTAGTCACAAAATTGTAGTCACTGGTTCCAAAAGGGATATTAAATGAAAATGTTTGGTATCCTACTACTAAGGTGCTACTAATTAAAAAGCACCCAATGAGACTACTTGTCAATGAACATTTAAACTCAGAACAGCTGTTTTAGATCTATAATTTTGGTTTCAATTTATTACTACTTGAAATTAACGTTTTACTTAAAACTACTTTCTATTGTGATATGTATTTATTGTGAATAAAAGAACAAAGAAATGATTTTGTTATATGACCAATAAATTTGCAATATTTATACTGAATTAAGCAAGTGTCCCAAGACCTTCTGTGAGAACCATATGTTAGATATATCTACAGTAGCTACAGCATCTTACTCCTGATAACAACTGAACTGTATGTGTAATCTCTTGGAATATGAGTAGGCCTACAGCCACTTCCATCTCTGTGCTGTATGCCCCCCTAAAGCACTTTACACATAACTAGAGAAAAACATTTAAAATTTTCACAGATTAAAAATAACTTAAGAGAGCAATGTACTGACTGGTCCAAAGCCTCCCCCACAGGAGATGTATTCTGGATGGTTGACCAAGTCAAACAGCTCTACCTGCTGGAATGGGGTCTGACTGGTGGATAGACACCAAGGCTGTGACAGCACCTGCAAAAAAAGCATACATTCTTAAGTGCATCTTCTACCCAATTAGATGGGTAATCCTATCAATAAAAGCCACTCAAAAAATGAGCCAATCTGTGGAGCCCCACTGATGACATAACCATAAAAATTACACAGCCACGGAAAAAATTAAGAGACCGCAGCACAATTTTTATTTCACTCATTTCTCAATTTATAGCTGTGCGTCTGTGAATAATATATATTTTTCTACAAACTGCAGTCTGGTTCTTCCCTGTTTATCATTAATGAAGGGCTCCTTCCTTGCTTTATGGGACCACAGTCCTGCTTCTAGGAGCCTGATACAAACTATCCTAGCAGTGCATCTCACACTGGCGCTTAATGCTTCCCATTCCTTTTGAATAAACTTGATGTCATCATTCGATTCATGAAAAACTGTTGGATAAGTTGACAGTCATTAAAATGTCACTTCCACCTTTTACCTGGCTGGTTTCTGGTCATTCTCAGTGTCTCCTGCTTCACCTTATTTTTGTGTACTGCTATCTTAGAAATTTTGAACCTGAAAGCAGCCTTCTGTCAGCAGAACCACAATTAAACCATGATTTAAAAATGCAGATTTGTTTAAAAATATAGAATGGTCTCTTAATTTTTTATTAGCCCGTCGTGTAGTGGCTGTCACCTCATTAATTAGATTTTAGGTCTTCTGTCTCATTCAGCTTTCCATGAACACTCCCCCCACTCGCTAGAGAGCTGTGATCAGACAGTGATTACATTTCCTGATGTCACTATTTCAGTGTGTACTTTTCGAAAATGAAAATGAGCCAATGCAGCAAAGCAAAGAAGGCCAATGCATTTCGGTGTGTTGTGGCACAATTTCATTATTAAATTGTATGTAATGTAAACCCTTCTAAATGTTTTTCTGGATGGTAGTTGAACAAGATGCAAATCAATGAAATGATGGTTTTGCTTTTCCTTGTGTCACATTCTCTTCATTACACTAACTAAAAAGTAATTGGGCTTTGGGCACAAGGTTGGGAACAACCCAGGGTGGAGAACCAGGACACTCTCTCTCTCTCTCTCTCTCTCTCTCTCACTTTCTCATTCTCTCACTCAATTTGGAAACTCCAATCTGTCTGTTTTTTTAACTGTGGGGGGAACTGGAGCACCCAGAGGAAACCCCACAACTACACAGGGAGAACAAGCAAACTTCATACATAGGGAATCCTGGTGGAGACTCAAACCCAGGTCCCAGAGGTGTGGGTAACAGTGCTAACCACTGCACCACTATGCCACCCCTAAACCCAAGTTATATTTGCATTACAAAGTGGTAAGAAATCCGCCCCATATAAAAGTTCACAGTCTAAACTAGTTGTATAAACACAACCTATATGTTTTCATTAGTCTGACAATTGTTTATATTTTTGAGAGGACACTAATTTTCATTTATTCAATGTTCTGTATGCTGGTGATTTTACTTATAATATGAAGTAAGATGGGTTAAGTCTTTTGTTTGAGACAAAATTTTAGTTTTATTGTGTTTAATGATATATAAAGCCATTTTTGAATTAGTGCAATGTTTCACAGTATGATTTTTTTTAATGTTAAATCAGTGTTTATGAAGACTGCATGTTCATGAATGCCATGGCATAATGTTTCCCTCAGGACTCTTTAGAGTGAATGATGTCTGTGTGGGGGGCAAGAAAATCTAGTTGTCTGCAAAAGGGACACCTTGGCAAAAAATGTTTAGAAATCCCTGCCATAGAGAGCATGGTCTGTAAGCAATTTCACAAAAATGAGACAGTAGGAGAAAAGTGAAGAAAAGCATTCTTCTGTAATAGGTAACACAAAATGTGCAATTTGTGTTGGTACAGCTCAAGGAAGTACGACAAGAAGGAACAGAAAATATAGCAAAAGCCATTAGTTAAGCTGCATCTGAAATTTCCATCTCACATTTTCATCTATTCTAAAGTTTTTAAAATGATTTGTCTTTTCAGGCATAGAATGGAAAATACGGTTTTAAATCACAGACACCAAACATGTGCCACATGACTGGTGCGACACTAACCTCTTTCAGGAAAGGTGACTCCACACCCAGGTATTTTGAAACCACATACAGGCAGAAGAGGTGCCTGTCAATACCAGATCCTGTTATGGCCAATCGGTAAAGGTTCTGGTGCTTGTCTGCAGCCAATCGGAGGAGGCGCTTACAATGATCTGCATCCTAAATGGGAAGTGGGGTGCAGGGATGTTAATGAATGTGAATCCACAGCTAACTAAATGAGATGTAGGTCAGAAAGAGCATCAGTGAGGATATGGTGGGATGCTTGTCTCACTACCTCTCCACTGTCCAGGGCTCTGACAAAGGCACAGCTCTCGCTGGTACAGGATCGAACAGTCTCTGTTCGGCCCTCTTTAAACAGGCGAGTCATGGAGGCCTCGTAAGTAAGGCAAAACATCCTCCTTTCCTGGTTGGAGGGAAGCAGAAATGTTAGCATTTCCATGTGCACATATCAGAGAAACACTGAACACCCCCCCAGCCTCAAGGACACGGTAAAGTATTTGAACTTTCCTTTACAATTTTTAGTATTTAGTCCATTTGCTAAGTAAAGCAGTCATTTCTGTGTTATGCATCTTTTAAACAAAGAAATACCATAATGTGACTGATAAAAATACAGACATAGCAAAAAGAAAGTACATCCTGATTCAATTAGATGTTGTTGATTATCCACATCAAAGTCTATAAGCAAAATAATCTACCCAGCAAATCTTCTAAATCCCTCAGGATTAGATCTCTGCTTTTTGGAGATGATGTGGTTCTGTTGGCTTCATCGGACCATGACCTTTGGCTCTCAAGGGCAAAATAGGGTCCTTTGTGTTTATAATATGTCTTTATTGATTGGCATTGAACTGGTATTGGTATTGAAGTACTACATATAATCGTTTGAACTCGAATGGCTAAAATTGTATGAAATTGCACATTCTCCCTGAGTCTTAACCACCTCAGTGACCTCCGCCCCAAAGATAGGGGAGTCCACCCTCAAGTCCCCAGACAATACAGTATTATAGTATTATGCAATATTATAAACAGGACCGTTGACAAAGGGCAGCCCTGGCGGAGCCCAACCCGCACTGGGAACACGTCCAACTTATTACCAGCAATGTGGACCAAGCTTCTGCTCCGTTCATGCAGGGACCGAATCGCCCACAACAGCGGACCCCGGACCCCATACTCCCGAAGCACCCCCCACAGAGCACCTCGGGGAACCCGGTCGTAAGGATGTTTTGCCTTTTCCAAATCCACAAAACACACGTAGACTGGATAAGCAAACTTATTTCTTTCACATTGTAATCTTTTTATTTTTAAGGCACTGCTGCACATCCATGCGTGTGTAACAAGTCGTGTATGCACGCTGTACATGAGCCTATGTAGGCACATGTTACTATCTTGATAATGCATCATTAAAATTACAGGGAAATATTGCACCATTGACTTTAGACAAAGTTTAGGTTTTTGTTATTTAAAACTGCAATTGCTTTCCACTGCCTCAAAATAGCAATGCGCCAACAATGCATTTCGTCTGCCTTATTTTAAGACTGACACACCCGCGGGCACTCAGAAGGGCGCAAGTACATTTGCTAATTAACATGGATTCTGGATGGGAAAGTGACAACTACTTCAGGCTCATGTTAGCAAAGGCACCTGCACTGCGCCCTGTGCAACTTTGCGCGAAATGTTAAATAGGGCTCATAGAATTTTGTGTCTGTTTCATTCCATCTGACAAATCTACCTCCATTTCTCCAAAGCAAACCATTGAAAACATTTCCTCCTGCCTATTCTAAGGCATTCACAATAAAATTGTGACTGATACTCATATATGACCATAGTACATATGCATGAATATCCAATGACTATCAGTTTGTGCAGTATGTTAACACTGTTGCCAGGGAGTTCAGCAAACAAACTGCATAATATATTTTGGATAATTACATCTTTTTTATTACATCAGCATTGTCTATAAGATGTGTGTGAATGTTTGCACCTGGATCATCTGCTATGGGTTAAATGAATGAAATATACCAGGCATAAGGGCGATATGAAAACAGGAATTCCCTGAAAGGTACTTGACAGACAGTTTAGAGACCTTGTTCAGAGATCTCTGAACACCAGACATGAATAAGCTGACAATCTTATTTCTTTAAATTTTTAATCAAGAGACTTCAAAAGAATTTTCTTCTTTACAAGTGTAGTATTTTTTTCCCCAAACACCTTACAGTTTTTCACAATTGCTTACACACAATAACCAAATTTATTAACTGAATATCTCGAACGTAGCACCATCTACCCAAAGATAAATAAAATTTCCCCAAACTATAAACAATATTTCCCTGTTTTCACAAGTGATTTAGATTTGTTGAACTCTTTGTGCAAAACCCTACTCGTAAATCCCTTCATAAATCATTGGCTTCACCATGTGCTCATTTAGAAAGCACTTCAATATCATTAACTGAAGTCAGCATAGCCTGAACCCAAGTAGCATACAATACAGTTTTGGAAAATGGAGCACAGTTTCAAGAAATGTCTCTTGGAAATCAGAAGTCATGTATCATATCAACTGAAGGGAGTCTTTCATGCAACTTGAGCATCACAAAAAGCCTTTCTTCTTACCCTGTAATATGCAAGCTGCAAAGCCAGCTGAATGAAGGCATCTGGACTTATTCGACACTTCTTAATTCTTCCTTTGCCAAAGTCCCTGAAGGGAAAAACGTGGAAGTCCACATCATCTGCAAGTACTTGTGCCACTGCAAGAGACCTGGAGATGTGCTCCTTACACTGCAAGTGGGAGAGGAGGGTGACAGCCCATTACACATCAGCACAACAACGTTTCCACCCTTAAGCACTTTCAACTACAGTAGATGCTGCCAGCACAACAATGCATTCCCCAGATCGCCTCATCACCACCCCCAAGCTCTCTCTCTATCCCCTCTACAGTAGGCTTGAATGCTATCTAATTTGATCACTTCCAGCTCTTCACTCAGATAATGTGTCTGAAAAGTTTGAAAAATATCTCTCAAATACTTTTACAGTTAGAGTGTTCACAAGACCATGGCTTCTACACCTTACAGTACCTTTCCTTCCTTTGCTACCATGTACTGCTGCTGCTTCATTTTGGGGGGTAATTTGTCTCAAAATAATAAAGGTCAAATGTCGTCTGCATTCACCCTTCCCTTTGCTGACACTAAGTAACACTGCTTCAATTTTGGGGTGATTCATCTCAAAATATAACTTTCAGTTTGTTACTCATAAATGCCTTTGCAAAGTTTGAAAATGATCTGTCAAATACTTTTTTGAGTTATCTTTATGAGTGGTGGACCAGTCAGAAAACTGCTCGTAGCAGGTTACACCTAGTCGAAGATAGTCTACGATGTCTTAGATCAGGGGTGTCAAACTCCAGTCCTGGAGGGCCGGAGTCCTGCATATTTTTTGGGTTTACCCTCATTTAACACACCTGATTTATCTCTTTGCAACTCCTTGTGCTAATTACCACACAGCTCTTGAGCTGAATCATTTGGGATGGAACAGTGAAATAGCTAAGCTATACAGGGCTCTGGTCCTCCAGGACTGCTGTTTGACACCCCTGTCTTAAATGGTCATGTGCCTGCTCTTGATGCTCTTTGATGGTTTAGCTGGGCAGGACAACTATCAAGGAAATATCATCCAGGAAATACACCTGAATTCTCCATATGGAAACATCCAGTTTGCCCCACTGGCTAATGCGAATAGTGACATCCCCAAAACACAAGTGTGGAAATGGCTGGCATCTCTTTTCTTATTATCAACATTTGTGTGTGTGTGTGTGTGTGTGTGTGTGTGTTTGTTTACCAGAATCCCACAGGATGTCATTATTTTCAAATGGGAAAACTATGCTTGCTGTGTAAGCCCAAACGTCACTTGCAGAGGGTTGGGGTACCACAAAAATTCCTGTGAAAATCGTCCGAACTTTACCTCTGGTGAGATGTCCCAGCTAAGTCTCTGCGGATGTGGCAGAGTAGGATCAATGTCTCCTTTGCAATGGCCTTCTTCATTATAGCCCAGGTGAAAGCTGTCTGTGGCTAAAACATACTATGAAAACAAAGGAGAAAATGTGAGGTGACAAGAGTTAAGTTCAGATCAAACTAAATACTTCTGTAAATACAATAATGTATTCACCGGTTGGCTCCATCACCCCTCCCCCAATAAATCCCAGTTCCTTCCAAACCTTCCAATCTCCACAACTATTAGCCCCTTATACACTCTCCCTACCTCTAAAAAAAACATTATTAAAAGCCCAGCTTTGTGTGACTTGCCTGACTACAACTGGGTTCAAAATATCTACATCTGTGGCTGTCTTTTCTTGTGCCACCACTAAGTGATACTGCTTCAATTTTGGTGTGATTTTCTCAAAATGAAATAAACCATAGATCAGGGCTATTCAAATCATGGTCCTCAAGGGCCGAGCACTGCTGTTTTTCCAGCTTTCATTTACCTGAGAGCCAGATTTGAATAGGGGGCCATAGATCATCTATGCAGTGTTCCTGGAAATGATCCCACTAATGAGATCAAGTATTTGAGGCTGCCCTTGTATTTCCTACTAATTGTTTTGATTAGATTAGACTGACTTTATCATCGCTGCATATATGACAAGTACTCAGACAATGAAATATAGCTTGGAATCTCATTCAAAAGTGCAAATTAGTGCAAAAGTCTGAGAAATAGCTGCATAATATATACAGGTGGGGTGGAATGGTGGTTAGCACTGTTGCCTCAAACCTCTGGGACACAGGTTCAAGTCTCCGCCTCGGTTACATGTGTGTGGAGTTTGCATGTTCTCCCCGTGTCGTTGTGGGGTTTCCTCCGGGTACTCCAGTTTCCTCCCCCCCCACAGTCCAAAGACATGCTGAGGCTAATTAGAGCTACTAAATTGCCCATAGGTGTGCATGTGTGAGTGCATGGGGTGTGAGTGTGCCCTGCAATGGGCTGTTCCCTGCCTCATGCCCATAGCTTCCGGGATAGGCTCCTGGAACCCAGAAGGATAAGCAGGTTGGAAAATGGATGGATGGATGGATATATATACAGGTGACAGATAAATACAAAACGTATATCTCACATTTGATACAGTGCCACATTCTCTTAGACTTTGTAGAAATGATTTTATAGTTATTAATATTTAATAATGTTATAGTTAACTGCTGTATTGTCTTGGGGGGCGGGGCTACTTGCCCCTATTGAAATTTCAGAATTTTTTGTTGCATCTAATATAAGAATTTGCAGGCAGTACAAATATAATTTTATAAATGTTGAGATTAGTCTCTCTCTCTGATGTGGGAATCCAGGGGTTTCATCTGGAACCTTTCTATGATTTAGTATTGTGAAGGAATACATGGTTAGTTCCAGGCGGAAACAAATGTCATTGATTTTGCATCCATTTGGTAATTTGAAGGGCCTACAAAAAGTGTATCCATAAGACCCCTGAACTTGTTAATCCACCACTGAGCATGGGGCAATTAAGTAAGCATTCCTGAGATGTTAACCTACCCATCACCCTTCACCATCGACTCACCTCCCACAAGTGGGCCACGACTGGGACATCGGCCCATGAGTGTTCCGCGTTCAGACCAATCTTCCCGTTCTTATAAACCACCACAGAAAAGGACTTGTCAAACCACCTGGGACAAAGAGGGAAATATGAAATGTTTCGTATTATGCAGTGTAACTTCCTCGTATCGCATACAATACAACCAAGCATTTACAGATTAAAGTGGACAAGCCTGTATGTCTATCAGGCAGTACAGGGAGCCTGCAAGTCCAAATTTAAAAATGTGCCAGAAGATATATACAAACCAAGTCACACAGGTGAAGAAGCCACACAGCTATTACAGACAGTCTAGTTTGCCTGATACTTGCATTGGTGATTGGCAGAAAGAGCCTTCACGGAATACAGTTGAACAGAACAGAAATTGTATTTTCACCTGTCCAATCTTGCTGCCCATGACACACACAAACACACATACAGATGAGAGCAAACTTGGGGTCACATGGTCAGCTAGCATGTAGCACTCCTGACATTCAGTTATGATATTCAGTGCCTTTCAGAGTAAAGCCTAGTTCATGCTTCACTTTTCTGCATGCATTTTCATGCAATTGCGGGCTGTGGGTTTTCGTGAACAGGCAAGCTTGTGTTCAGGTGCAGAAATTCAGCAGACAGCATAAATATTCCACCAGACCAGGAGATCTAGTGGGCAAGATGTATTGCAACAGATAGAAATAAAAGCAGTGTAGTAAAACAGATTAGCTTCTTTTCATGAAGAGTTAATCTGTTTTCACAGACACATGCGAATCCCAGCAGACAACACTTGCACCGACCACAGCCATCTGCAGGAATATTCACTGGGAAAGTATGAATGGCCTTAAAGCTCAGTTTTCAGATGCAATACACATGGAAGACCTGCACGTGTTTCACAATTTCTTCCTGTGGTTTGGTAAAGAGTCAAGTAATTAACCCTTTAAACCCTATCCATTTTTGAGCATTTTTCTATCCCTTTGATTTTAGGCTTAGTACATTGTATGTACATGAGTTAGCCACATACACTTTATGGTTTTATTTTCAGGACATTCTGGGCTACTCAGATATGTCGTAAAATGATGTGTAAATGCTGACACAGTCTAGATATCATTCTTCTTATGAAGGAAAAACTACTTGCGCCTATTGAAATTTCAGAATTTTTTGTTGCATCTAATATAAAAATTTGTAGGCAGTACAAATATAATTTTATAAATGTTGAGATTAGTCTCTCTCTCTGATGTGGGAATCTAGGGGTTTCATCTGGAACCTTTCAATGTTTTAGTATTGTGAAGGAATACATGGTTACTTATAACATCTGAAAGAATAGAAAATAGCATTATTTAGTTTATGATCCATTGGATAAAAGCAGAGATAACATATGGTTTTAGACTCTAATGCTGAATGTCTATTGCTATCATTTGTCTGCCTTTCAGAAGGAAAGTTTTAGCTGGCATTTTAGCCTCAAGCAACAAATCAGTGCTGCAGCACTTCATTGAGTTTACATGTATTACACGTTCCAATGATACAATTGGCACATTCCATTTCAACTGTTGTCACAGATATATATATATACAAACACTCAAAAAATGGGCTGGAGTTCTACTATAAGTAACAATAAAACTCAGCATTCTATTTATTAGTTAGGCAATTGCTTGATATTTGATATTTATTGACTGAATGTTTGAATGTTGTGAAATATCAAGCAATTGCCTTCCTAACAAATAGAATGTTGAGTTTTATTGTTACTTATAGTAGAACTCCAGCCCATTTTTTGAGTGTTTGTCTATCCCTTTATTTATAGGCTTATAATAAATAAATTTTAAAATAAATATTTTTTTCCCCAGAAGGGTACATAAGAACATAAGAAATTTACAAACAAGAGGAGGCCATTCGGCCCATCAAGCTTACTTTGGGAGAACGTAATAGCTCAGAGTTGTTAAAATCTTATGTAGCTCTCATTTAAAGGAACCCAGGGTTTCAGCTTGCACTACACTAGCAGGAAGACTATTCCATAGTCGAACTACATGCTGTGTAAAGAAGTGTTTTCTCAAATTCAGTTTAAAATGTTCTCCCACTACTTTCCACCTATGGCCACAAGTTCTAGTATTTAAACTAATATTAAAGTTGCCATTTGGCTGAACAGCATCAAGAATCTTATATACCCTTAGTCTCCTTTGCTTGAGGCTAAACAGATTCAGGTCAGCTAACCTCTCCTCATAAGACATTCCTCTAAGACCAGGAATCATTCTTGTAGCTCTACGTTGAACCTTTTACAAAGCACCAATGTCCTTTTTAAGGTATGGTGACCAAACCTGCACACAATATTCTAGGTGGGGTCTTACCAAGGAATTGTATAATCGTAGCATCACCTACATTCACTTAAACTCCACACACACACAGATGTAACCCAACATCCTATTAGCCTTTTTAATTGCTTCCCTACACTGGTGAGAGTGGGACATGGAAGCATCAACATACACACTGAGGTCTTTCTCATAATCAGCTACCTTTATTTCAGTGGAAGCCATAAAATATCTGTACTTTATATTTCTGCTCCCTGCATGGATTACCTTACATTTATCTACATTAAATTTCATCTGCCAGGTATCTGTCCAGTCGCTAATTAAATCAAGAACCCGTTGTAGCCTCTGTGCTGCTAGTTTAGTATCTGCTACACCACCCACCTTGGTGTCGTCTGCAAATTTAACCAGTTTACTGTAGGTATTGGTGTCAATATCATTACTATAAATTAGGAACAATAATGGTCCTAAAACTGAACCCTGCAGTACCTCACTATGAAAGCAGCCCCAATGCGCCATTGTGCCTCTAATAACTACCCGCTGCTTCCTGTCTGTTAACCAGTTTTTGATCCAAGCTGCTACAGTTCCTAAAATCCCTACAGCTTTGAGTTTAAGCAAGTGCCATTTGTGGGGGACAATATCAAAGGCCTTCTGGAAATCTAAGTAGATCACGTCATAGGACTTTTTGTAATCAACTTCCTCAAAGAACTCAAGTAGATTAGTTAAACAGGACCTACCTTTCCTAAATCCATGTTGGCTATCCCTCAGGATGTTATTTTAATCCAGGTAATCTACCATTTTCACTTGGATTACCTTTCCAGTTATGCAAGTTCAACTGATTGGCCTATAGTTTGCTGGATTACTTCTATCTCATTTTTTGAATATAATGAATACATGGTAGTGCGTGGATCACTGTAGAAGCAAATATGCGCTTTATTTCCATCTAATGTGAATAATGTTGATGTTTTATGGATTATTAGGGGTGCTTTTTTTCATAGAAAATGTAAAAAAAAAATATGTCTTATTGCACACAGGATTACTCTGGAATATTTTAGAGCACAACATTGCAACTTGTACAAGCAGATCGAGTAACTTCTCTCGATTACAAAGATATCCGATTCATGTCAGTGCATTATACCTATCGAATACCTAATGAGCCTGAGATTAATGGGTGTGAAAATCAACACATTTTGTGTTTGTCAGGTTCTAAGGGATAACAAACAGCTGAATATTAAGCCGTTGTGATAAATATCAAGGCGTTTTGATGAGTGGTCTTGAAATAAAACCTTGAGTCCTTTATCTCTGAGACCAAGACAAGACCAAGTCAAAATAAAGTCAATTCCGAGACGAGACAAGACCACAAAAAAGTGGTCTTGAGACCAAGACCGGTCTCAAGTACTACAACACTAGAGGATCAGAACTTAAAATATAAAATATCCATTCACTCCACCTATCATAGCATTTTCCATGGAGCAGGGATTTTGCATAGCGATCCAGGCTGCCAGTTGGATCATGTCCCATCATGCCATGTTCGTCATCATCCAAGGTAACAAAGAAAGCGGCCTTTTCAATGCAGTCCAGTGAAAGCTTGTTGACCCCAGAGCTGAAAAACTGCTTCCGAGCCTTAGCCCATGGGATCCTGACAAAACAGAGGAGAGGGTAGGTGAGTGATAGCAGCCTGAAAGATACATTCAGTCCGTAAAACCTAGAATACAGCTATCCAAAAATAGTGTTCCTTTTAATCCTTTCGTAAGCCGAAATGCCGAAAAGAAGCAGTTAACTTTAATTTATATGGGAAAATATTTTGAGTTTACCCAGACAGAAAAAATAATCTACCAAATCATTCCAAATAAAACATGAAACCTAAAATAATATGAACATATAGTAAAAGCAGGAATTATATGAAATACAGCTTATATTTAATAGAATAACAGACGAACAGTGTAGTTTCACTTACCAGAATTAATACAGTCATATGTTGCTTCACATCAGGGATAACTCTGCTTATATTTGTACACAGAGATCTAACACCGAAATGGATGATTTCTATTATACAAGACCTTGTGAAGGTATTCAGACCCTTGACTGACTTACTTACTGTTCATTCTGCCTTTAAGATACCCAACAGGACAATGTCTACCTCCTGTGACTGAGTTGGTCTCACTGTTCACGTAAGGGGGGCAGAGTGGATTTAGGACAGGCCCTGCAATTTGGGCACAATGATAAAAATAAAGGCTCTCAAGTATGACTCTCGGTTGCCTTTGTTCATAGCAAAGAGCCAATGAAAAGAATCAAATCGTTCACAAATTGACTAGATTATTTGACTCCGTTCAGCAAAAAGAACTGATACTTTCTGTTCCAAAACTGCTCTTCATTTTGTACCACTTCTGGATTTTATAATTCAACCAAATTTTGCAATTTTTTGATGATTAGTATTTGAGCACGTACTGTATATCACTTCAATGTACTTATATTAAACCTTAAAATTTTCCAGAATACCATTATTTTACATTATGTTTGGTATAAAAACATTAATGAAAAAACATTTACTATTACACAAGTGTATTGAACATTTATAATGAATGCTGTAAGTTACAATTTACTATAAAAACTAAACAGTGCATCTGGTCTTTGTGCTTGAATGTTACAGTTCTAACGTTATTGTGATGTCTATATCAAGTAAAATAATTCAAAAAAAATAAACGGTACCACTTTACAATAAGACTCCCTTTTGCCACTTGTAAATGGTAGCAACTCATTAATAAAAAGAAAGCAGTTATAACTTGTTTAAAATTGTCTATTAATAATTTACAAAGTGTTACAACCTAATTAATAACCAGATTATAAACCATTCATAAACCCTTTATATGGGTAGCCTTATTGTAAAGTGGCACCAAATAAACTATAAAAAAACACAAACCATCGCAAACAAAATCACATTCAAAGCGAGACATAGCGTGCCTCATAAATAAAAAATAAATTACAATGTGCACAACTACATCATCAGCCAGTGCCAAGCAGCGTTGCTCTCAGATGGGATCCTGCTCCCATCATTCACATAAAGGTCCCAACTTGTTTGCGACCAACACAAGACAAAGAGGAACGTCGACATGTAGCTAGGTTAAAAGCAAACCATGGTTCATCTATTATGAAAGAAATGATATTCATTGATTCTTGCTGCCCACTTGCCTGTTCCCTCCATCAACATAAAACAGATGCTATTTGGGCAATGGGAATCACTGTGATGCATGCTCGTAAAAAATAGTTAAACCTCGTGTTTCAAATTATTATAAAATAGATAAACCATAACTTGTTTTTAACCTAGCTGCCTGTCAATGTTCCTCTTCATGGACAATCTTCTGGAGAACCTCTTTGTGGTGTGCAGTCAACCACAAAACCAGCCAATAGTATTCGCCCACAGAAATGGTCATGAGCCCACCCCCAAAGTGTGAAAACTACCCCATGCCAAAACTCGAGCGCAAAAATTTCACTTGAGTGCAGAGAGCAGCTGAAGGTACTATACTTGGTGTGGGAGGTAGACTATCTAGTTGAGAAGGAAAAAATTTGAGGGAAAAAACACAAATCTAAGCTCGAAATTATGATAGACGAGGACACAGTTCTTCTTTCAGTGCTCACAAGCTTTACATTTCGCTTGCGAGTGGGATATTTACACAGGTTTATTTTTTCAAGTTGTGTTTTAACACTCTAGTTTTGACACTGATGTGAAGCCATAGCTGATAAATGCTAAATGCTATTTTAGCCAGATGTCTACCAGTTAGCGAAAACAGGTGTTAATGTAGGTCTTTCACAAAAGCAAATTAGCATAAAGGAAACATAACTTTTACCTTCAGTTTGTGTAGAATGCCAGCATGTTCTTATGTTTGCTTTCCATATATATTTTTTGGTGGCTGTCTGTGGCAGTCTGTATAATGTCACCGCTTTACCCACCTGTCTCCTGCTGTCAGAGCCCCAAGCTTGTCTTCTCCGGTTGAGGGTGGGGAGGAGTCATCCAGGATTTTTTGGATCTGGAACTCAATTTCCCTGGGAGACAGCAGCCTGCCCGCATTGTACATCCCCAGTCGGAAATAACGGCCCCGGTGGTAAACAGCCAGATAGTTGCTGTCTTTCCAGTGCTGTACTATATCTGACAGAGTGGGGCAGAGTAAAGGATGGGATGATCACGACCAGGAGACATTGCTGTAGTTTCACGACAATGGACCAGACACTAGGGCACATTTAACACTGACTCAGAACCAAGGGAGAGGGGTAGTGTCACTGGGTAGAGAAATGATGGCTGCAGTTGCATGGCTGTCTTTAGCAGAAGGGCACATCACAACTTAAAGAGGGGGAAAGCAGCTCAAGGTTATGGTCAGGGGGCGACATGAAGACAAGCTGAAGGCAGTGTAGCAGCAACATACTACAGAGGGCGCTTTTCCACCACACCAAGTACCGCACTTTTGGTAAGGTACTTTCAGTACTTTCCCTTTTCCATTGACTTCTGGTTGAGTACCAATACTAAAGGTTCCATTTACATAAATGTCAAACCAGCTGGGGTACTTCTTCGGTACTTTGTTGACTGCTTATGCAAAAAAGCCTGCCTTTGAAACACAATACAAACACTGCCATGAAAACAGTTATGAGCTCAGAAAACAATGATAAACAATGCAAAAAAAGGGATTATGATCTGGACAGAAGAACAGACAAAAAAAGACTAGGGTGGCATGACAAGAAATTTAAAAAGTATTTTGTTTAATATGGCAGGACAGCACGCATATACCGATGCGATTTTGTTGTGAAAAATATTTAAAAAGCAAAAAGGAGTTGGAAAAATTTCTTACAAACCCATCTAGGAGTGATTTAAACAGCGAGGATGAAAATGATTATGATTGTCTCTGAGAATGCATGCAGAACTAATGCAAAAGCAGCATGAGGTAAACTTTAAACTGATTTTTAAACATATATTAGATAATCTAGAAAAGGAATAATAATTACATAACTATCATAAAGCAAAAATGTATAGCGAAATTTAAACAAGCACTAATGTCCATACAGAATTGAAGGTAAGAAAACACCTGCATTCTAGCTGACTGGTGATCTGAAAATTGCATGTAAATAACATGGGATGTTGATATTAATATTTCACATCATCCAGCCCTATTATATACTACAGCCGTTTTTTGAATGTGATGAAATTCGGCGCCTGTACCAGTTTACATACCAGTGGAAAACCAACACCTTGAAGTACTTGGTACAGTGGAAAAGTGCCCAGAAGGTGTTCGAGCAAGCATGCAACTGGGAAACAGCCAAAGTGTTAATACCTGTTATCTCGCCAGGAATTCGACAAGAGTCGAACATCCTCTCATACTGATAGGAACAGCAAGGTACCGAGGACCTCAGCAAGCACTGGGGGCCGATCGAGGACAGAGACAGGAAGAGGGTTTGGCGGGGGGGGGGGGGGAATAAAGTGAAGGTGGGATAAGTAGAAAAGTAAGAGACAAGGAGAAACGGAGGATAAATGAATAACAGGCGAGGAAACAAATATACGAAATTCACAAATAAGGGGATAGAAAATTGTAATATTATAGCAGAGGCCTGTAATGAAACAAGAACAGGCACATGCAGACTGATGGAGTGTATATTTGTACACAGAGATCTAACACTGAAATGGATGATTCCTATTATACAAGGCCATGTAAAGGTATTCAGACCCTTGACTAATCCTCTCTCCACTGAAATCCCAATCCTATATCGAAATGTAGTTTTCTGTGATATTTTTATTTCTATGAATAAGAATTTATTTTAACATGACATATTTTCCACACATTCAGACACACAGATGTTTGTATGCATATCTTTGTGAAGACCCTCCATTCAGTTTTATGGGAAAAACCCTAATCCCAGCTATGACATCCTTACCCCCAACCCAGCCCTGTTTACCATAACCATTATTAACCAAACAGTTTTCTGGCATTTTTAGTTTTTTGAGGGCAGTCACAGATTTTTTTTAAACCAAGTTTCCCCTTGTGGGGACCAAATAAATGGTGTGTATGTGTATATA